ATTGTTGTTTAAGTAACAATTTATTACCTTTCTTGTGATTGGTGTGTATGTGTGTCTCAACTGATTCTCCAATAACAATATTGCTATTGTTTTCAGGAAATTAAAAAGATCAGAGAATAAAAATAAACAAATTATGTAATAGATATTAATGTGTAAAATTGATATAAATAAACAATGTAATTAGCAGTTTGTTAATAATATACTTTTAATCATATCTCTGTATTTTGTAATAAAAAAATATTTAAAATCTTTCAAATAAAACACTACCTTTAAAAAAAAGCATCTAGTTATATGTGGTTTCAAGATATTCATATTCTTGTTATAGTGATCTGCTGTTTACCCAAAATATAGTAGCCTTAGATGCTTACTTCTTGTTATAAAATAAATGTTCTTGAAAGTTTTAATAAAATATGTTCAATTTTAATAAAAACAGTTAAATTGACTTTAATAAGAAAATGAAATTGTATCAGTAAAGACAATAGGGTCAAATCTAATATAAAGAATAAAGTTAAATCTAATAAAAAAAATAAAAATTTTAAGACCAAATATAAATAACTATAAAGTGTTTAATAATTATTTATATTAATTACTAACTAACATTTTCTTTATTAACTGTTGAAATGCTTAGACAAATTTATGTCACAAAAAAGATATTTTAAATATTGTTCAGGAAATAACATAATTTTTTAAATTCACAATAACTACTAAAAGTAGTAATAATTAACACTTTTATCTTTAATGCAAATGTGATAGTTAATCCCAAAATAACTCAAATTTAATAGTAGACATATACTAAAAAAGATGATGAGCAATTGTTGTGGGTACCTATATCTATTAAAAGTTATTTCTAGAAATTTAAAGTGTTAAGTTATTAATATAATAAACAAATATAATCATTTTATGTTTAAAGATATAAGAGTTTTTCATAAGAACTGTTAATTAAAATAAGAAGCAAAATGCACAGTTGTACAGATATTAAAAACTAATGCAAAACCTAGTATGATTTATAAAGTAATTAGAAATGAATATGGAGAACTGACTGCAACAAGAAGAAACATTTCTAGTTTGAATATACAATTTTATTTTTAAAAGAAAATATTCCAATGAAGGCATTGATATTAGGTATAGAGAAAAGAGGATACACTGTCTGTTATAAAGATCAAAAAGACAAATAGTTTATATTTTCACTTTGCTTTGTTAAAATTATTTTAAAAAATTCTTATAAAGTATCAAATTAATACAAATAAATAAATTAAGCATCTTTTTTTCTATTACAATAACTCAATTAAAAATACTAAATGCTTTTTAGAAATTATTTTAATTAATATAACTTACAAAATGAATGTTTACAAACTACTGTTTATAAATTTTGTTAGTATTAGTAATCTTAAAATTAATCAACTACAAGTTTTTAGTATCACTGGCATTTGGATCTCTTATAAATCTAAGAAATTATATATTTGAATGACTGAAATGCTTGCTTTTATTATTTTTTTTAATGTTATTCCTTTTGTGTTTGTTATTGATAATGATGCTATACTTATTAGTATTTTTAGAAAAAAATTTTCTTAATCAGAACTTTTGTGTAACCCAACATATTTTGAATAATTTCAAGAAAAATTTAAGAAGACACTTTATCAATAATTTTTTTAACAAAATTATAAAAATTGTAGATTGTTTTATTCATTCAAAAGATTATAAGACATTAAATTTGGCAGTTGCTTTATATAAAAAGCTGGTCTCATTAAGCTTAAATGTAAGTAAAATGATAAAATATCTTAATAGAAAAGTATTAACTTAATTCTTAATTAAAGAATTGATTTATATTTAATATCTAATCCATATTGGTGGATTTATAGAATTGCTTTAAAATTATTCATTTGTCAAATAGGTAAGTCATATGAATTGATATATGATAACATTTGTGATTAGCACTTATGATAACAATAGTGATTATATCAGCTGATTTGTAGAATTTGATAAATAGAATTTGTTTAACTTTAAATCGGATGAAATGATCTGCAAATTTGATCAGAGCTATGACAAATTAGTTTTTCTGTTTATTAAATTCCATGATATGTATATACTAAATATCTTTTTTTTTAAAAAATTGAAAATTTCTTTCTTAAGTATATAAAATATTTAAAACTAATGATTATACAAATTCTCCAAATGTGGCAAAAACTTTTAACAACATATTTACCTATAATATTATTTAAATAGGAACATATCCTAATAAAGATATTTTTGTTTTTACAGCAAAGCCAAATCAATATTAAGTTCTTCATAATTATATTGTTAAAACTACTTTCAGAAGTAACTAATCACAAAAAATTATAACATACTCAATTTAATACCAGAACAAAACACCTAAATTTAAGATTGAATTTATATATAACAATAATACTGAAATTGTTATATCAAATAAAAGTGCATTAGATGTTGCAAACCTTTATATACGATAATATAATGAATTAGTGTTACTTGATATTGAACAAAAAACTGGTCAAAAATCTGTATAAAAAAGACTAAATTAAATGATATATATGTTTTTGGACTTCAATTAGAACAAATTAATAAAATTCGAAATCAATGATCTGTAACAAAAAAGCATAAACCATTTGATGATCTTGGTAATTCAATGCAATTAAAGTGTAGCAAACCATTTGGAAATCATTTTTTAGATTTATTTGAACAACAAGTATTACAAACATTTAATCAAGAAGATGATGTTTTACTTGAAGGATTAATTTTTTCAGTAGGTACATAAAGGTTTTATATTAACTATAAAGAGTTAAATAGTAAAAATATTAAATTACAAAAACAAGCTGTTGTAAAAGCAATAGACATCAGAAGAATATCATGAAATACATATTGATTATTAACTGCAATTGGACATGATCTACTAAGAAAATGAGCTGTTTTTGTGATGCAACAACAAATTAATTTTCAAATGTCAAGATTTGTTCCAATTTATATAATCAATTTAGATTTATCATCATTTCAAAAACATTCAGTAGAGAATAATAAAGAAACAAATACAGAAACAATTAGTAATTTAGAAATTATACAAGAAATAACAAATTCAATTTGAAAAGCTACTTATTAATCGATTAGAGACATCCTTGCAAATATTATTCCAACTTGGTTAAAAAAGGAAATTATTAATTATACAGATTCTGTGTTACATCTTCGAATTTCTGAAGATGAAAGAAATGTGGAGCATAAAGTAAAGCATGTTATGGTCACTTTTACTTTATTAAATAATTTTACAAATTTATATAATCCCAATCATCACTTTACCCTTTTATTATATCTCAGTATTGAGAGATATGATATATTAAAAGTAGCTTTAATACTATTAATCACAAATTTAAACAATCTTGTAAATGGGTATATTGATAAAGATGGTTGGAAGTGGAAAATCTAATTATATTTTTCAGCAAATTGGAAGTGTTTAGCACTTTTCATAGGACATAAAGCTGCTAATTCAGATTATTTCTGCCTTTGGTGTTTAATTCATAAAAATCAAAATGGAATCCAAACTTATAATTGGAATATTTCTAAAAATATTATAGATATATATAATAATTACTTGGAAATTCCAGGTCATAAACATCCCCTCCTATTTTATATGATTCCATTGGCACATTAGATTATAGATGAACTTCATATTCTATTATAAATTACTAATCAATTATAGTTACTTTTAATGACAGAAATACAAGCAAAAACAAACACGAAAATTAGACTAATAATTAGTCAAGAAATGAAATAAATTAAAGTTAATTTTTATTGGTAGAAAGATCAAGAAAGTAAAACTTGGAAATCAACATCTTTAACTGAAGAAGATAAACTTAAAGTACTGCAAAATTTTAATTTAAACATTTTATTTAATAATTATAAATGGGCAGCACAAATAAGACAGCTATGGAATAATTTTAATGAATTATACCAAGATAACATGAGCATCGAATACTTGATGATGAATTTAAAACAAAAGCATTGGCTTGGATAAGCCAATTTTTAATATATTCATCTAGTAATCCAAATTCATTAATATTTATTAAAGGGTTATACAGACCAAATGATATAACACCATATATATATATTCTGGTTTATCATATTCCAGAGTTTCTTACTATATATAAAACTTTTGGTATTCATTTTTTCTTTTGTTCAGCAGTAGAGAAAAAGAATCATTGTCACATATCACATTTTTTTCAAAAAACTCTGAAAGATGGTAAAATTGGTGACAAACAAAAATCAGCACATGTTGAAATAATAAAGTATAAAAATTGGGCACTTTTTTTTTTATGCATAATGTACCAACTTTCTTTGAGAAAAATACAACTATTAATATTCACAAAAGCTAAATACAAATAATGTTATCAGTAAGAATTTAATTTATAGTATATTAAAAAAATATAATGCTATAGTATCTAATTAAAAGAATAATGGCTTTTTAGAGTTAGCGAAATAATTTGTTAAGAATTAGATATTCCAGTTACTAAAGTAGTAACTAAAATAAAAAAATATAATGCTATAGTATCTAATTAAAAGAATAATGGCTTTTTAGAGTTAGCAAAATAATTTGTTAAGAATTAGGTATTCCAGTTACTAAAGTAGTAACTAAAATAAAAAAATATACACAAAAGAAGAAATTTAAATCTCCAGAATTAGATTTATGATAAAAAATTACTTGCTATTAGCTACCTTAAAATCACTATACTACACCATATTACAAAAAACAATATACATTATTGCTTTTATAAAATAACTTTGTATTTTACATATTTATATTAATACAATAAAATATTATTTTAATTTCTTCGTGAATTATATAGAACATATAACCAAATATTATTATAAATTGCATAAAGTTTTTGCCATAAAATTTACTATTTGAAATTAAATATATTAAATTAATAAAGATACTCAGTAGTGATTTCTAGTACTATTAAACAATACCAATCAGACTATTGAAAAATTCAATTCTATTAGTGTTTAAAAGAATCATTTTGAAATTTAAAAAGTCTATATACTAGTAAGAAAGCTTGTAAGGCTACATCATTTGATTCTATATCTATGATCTGCAAAACCTTTTCTTTGATAGTCTCTTTCTCAATTGAACTAAGAGTATCGACTAGCTAAATTTTAAAATGCTATCAAATATTAATAGTCATAAATGAGGATATTGAATAACTTAAACTGTAAAAAAGTGAATATGACTATACTGACTAATTACAAAGATCCAAATCTCATCCAAGATTTGATTCACAATCATATTACCTTTCTTCTCATTTTCTTCTTAGCCACAATGTCATCAATAACATCATTTATCATTTTCTTTTTTATGTCTATTATTTCAGACTCCTTTTTGAATTTCATTATGCTATCATGATTTTTTGTATTGCTTGCAAATTCATTTGTCGATTTATTGATTTCATGATCTAAATCGATTAAATAATTAATATAACATAGATCTATAATAAATATAGATAAATTATCAATTGCATCTTTTATTGCATCTTTCATTGCATCTTTTATAGCTTTAAACATTTGCTTATTTGATAAAAGAGTCTAAAAAAATGTTTTTTGGATATAATTCATAATGAAATAGTAGTTTAAAACAAAATTTTACCTGAATTCATAATGAAACAGCTTGAAGTTATGTAGTTCTAACAAGATAATATTACATGCATTCTATTAGACTCAAATTAATATAAAACCAAAAGAATAAGCTTTATTATAATAGATAAATTTCTGTAATATATTCATACTAATGAGTATAAATTAAGTGTCTAATGTTGTAATAGTGAACACTTATGTATATTAAAGTATATAAAAGCCATCATATCATTTGATTTGCTTTAGTAGATGTTTTTATATTAACTATTAATTTTTTCTAACAAGATCCAGCTTTGTTTTTTTATAATCTGTTTCATGTTGTGTTTTTTAAATTATATTACACTTATCTATGAATCACTAGAAATCTATGAATAATAATTGTAAGATTAATATTAAGTATAATCTCACAAACTTTGTTTTTGACTACATTTGAATTGTGAATAAGAAAATATGCTATAGACATGTTTCAATTTGCATGCATCTGATACTTAATAAAATCTATAAAGCTAAAAAAATAAAAACTGTAAGAGATGTTGATATTATAGTAAAGAAATCAAAAAAATATATATATAAGATAATATGCATTAAGTTGTTAAGTAAATGATGTGAATTAATTTTTTTCAATATAATAATAATTTAAATAAATTTTGATTGCCAATAAATTTACATTATATATTAATTAAACTTAATAATAAATTTGATTTATCATAAAACTTAAAAATATATAATCTGCTTCTGAAATATAATTCACATTATCTTTGATTTGTCGATGCCTTCATTGAATTTCCATCTTTGGTTGTATTTAATTTATATCTTGAGATACTAAAATCATTCAGATTTGTTGTTAGTTTTTATATTCACATACACCCCAATTTGGATCTTTAAAAATCTGACTTAATGTTTCATATTCTTCTATTTCACTAAATATATAGTAATAACATCCCCAGCTCAGTAAATATCATTTAATATTATTATGAAAAATTTCTACAAACAAACTTTTCAAGCATAGCACATTTATGTATTGCTTTCATTGTTAACACTCATTTTTCAATTTGTCTTGAATTAAAAATACTAATGTTTTTTTAAATTCAGTAACTACTTCAAGTAGTTGAGGTATTAAACCAGCTCGAGGAATATTATAATTGGAGTGAATCAGTGCTTCATGTCGGCTTAGTCCTTTTAGATTCTTATAGCTTTTACCTGGACATAAAACACAGTAAATATATAAAGAATTAGTAAATAATAAAGAAATAGAGTTATTCTTCTGTTTGTGAATTCTGCTCTGATGCAAATGTAACCTTTTAAGAGTTTTAAATAATTTGTTTGAGCATAAGGGACATAAAATGTTCGACACATTTTAATTTTCTATTTTGTTAACAAAAATGTTTGGTTTAATCATTATATATAAGGTAATACCTAGCTTTTCAGAGCTTTCAGAGTAGTTTTCCTTGCATATACAAACAAGAGATTGGTTTTGACATTAGGAGATTGGTTTGACACTCAGTTTATTATACAAAAGATTAGATTTGACATTATAAGATTGGTTTGACACTCAGTTTACTATGATAATTATTATAGCAATATGATTTTTTGATGATCAGAAAATTATTTTTGTAGGTCAGATAATAACTAAATAATAGATCAAATTCTACTGATCTGCTAATATGCATTAATCTAATATTTAATTTTTTAAAAAATAATGAAAATCAAAGAGAAATGAATTGGAGTTTATATTATCAAAATAATGCATCTTGATATTACAACAATATAATGTATTGGAGGTGCATATTCAGCTATGAAATACATTATTGAAACTTCAAGAAGTTTAATGAAATCTTTTGATACATTAGATAGAAAATTAAATTTACATCATAAGGAGTATTTGTTATAATGTGAAAATGAAAGTATAAACATTAATCTCTTATTAATATAAGATAATAAAAATCAACTAGAACTATTTTTTTATTGTTTTTTAACAAAGATCAAACTGATTCTAATTATATAGCAAAAGATGCATCTTCAACCAGTTTTGATAACTTCTCACTTAAGTGTCAATTATATAAAATTGAAGCACAATATATAAACTTTCCAGATGAATAACAAAACTTGATTTTCTTGAAAAGACTTGATGCTATTTTAGCAATTCCAGAAACCAAACTTTCTGAATTGAAGATTGCAAAAAAATTTTAAAAAAAGGTTATCTTTCTGGAACCAAATAGTTACCAACTGCATTAGAACATATAGAAACAGAAAATAAGAAAATAAAAATTAGTAATACTAAAAAAAACAAATTAAGAATATTGATTCTATACAAAATGTTTCAAAACCTAATATTGAAGATAATGCATATTTTAAAATAATATTTGATATATAAATTATTAATTTATTATTATTATTTACAGATAAAAAGCCAAAAATTTTATTAAATTTTTGAATTTCTATTGACAATATAGATCAAATTTATAATCTATAAAATAATAATAATTGTAAATTTCAAGCACTTGTTATTGTTATAAGGGGAAATAAAAACAATTGAAATCTTATTAAATTAGCTATGAACAGTCAATTGAATAAGCATATGAAAATTTATAACTACTAACTAGACTATACTGTTACAGTAGAGAGGCTTTCTTTAACTCCTTACTATAACAATAACATAGCTACAGAGATTCTTTACAGGTTTATAGCAGTATCCAAGAGGGAAGTATAGTAGCTTTAACTATTTAGCAACTATACTCTTCTCTGGGCAGTTTAGTTAAGATAATACAACAGTTTATAACTTTATTAACTTGGGAGTGATAGACCTTGCCTATAGGAATTACTCTAGAGAAAAAATATCAATATAGTTTATAGATAAAGGTAATAACTTTATTAAAGGAATAAGGCTATTCATTAGGTTTCTGTTCCTAAGAAATCCTTTTACACTTTACAGAAGTTACTAAACTAAAAGGTAGAGAGAGAGGGGTGTCTGTGTCTTGTTTGACTTGGGGAAATTCTTGGTGTTTATATATTTGTTAACAATTGTTAAAGCAAAGCATCAAAGCTTAATAATTATTAGAATGAAGTGTTAAACATTAGATGTCAAACGTTAAGTGTCAAGCATCAAGCATCAAGCATTAAGCATCAAGTGTTAAGCGTCAAGCATTAAGTATTAAGCATCAACTGCTGTAATTAATTTGTTCTACCTAATATAATTAAATAATAATAATAACTAATGCTAATAATAATAATAATAAAAATAATACTAACAATTAATAATAAAATATACATTCATGAAACTATACTAAAATATAATAATAAAATTCATTTTATAACAATAATTAATATTGTAAAATAGATTACAGATCAACATTTATATAGATAATCATTTAATATTGTTTATATTTTTATTTGATTATGTTGACAAATTTTGCAATTATTTAGAACTCATCAAATAACTTCACAAAACTGTACAAACTTCAAAACAACTTCAATAAACTTTGTAACATTTTAAATATTACAGAAGGCTTAAGCCTATTAATGATTTAAAGAATTTTTAACTAACTGTAATTTGTTTTCAATTAACTTTTCTTTTTTAAAATATTTTTTATTTTAAATTTTTCTTTTATTTTGTTTTTGTTTGCTTTAAATTTACTTAC